AATCAGCAGATGGGAATCAGCATTATGAATTACTTCGATGATTGGCTTGTCAGATCAGAACAGGAACTCATTGCTTACAGATCACTGTTGCTCAGCCACCTGGAGCAGCTTGAGCTAAAAATCAGTTTAACCAAGAGTTCTCTGTCACCCAGCCACGCTTGGCACCTGGGACGTTTTCATCTCAAGGGAACCCACCACTGCATCAGAGCTGTGGCCCCTTGGAAAACAAATGATCTGGTCTGTCTTCGGGAGGGCAGAGGTGGACCTCTTCACCTCAGAAGACAACTTTCACTGCCCAATTTACTTCTCGAAGCAGCAAGATACCCTGTCCCACAAATGGCCCAGCACTCACTTGTATGCCTTCTCCCCGATTGCCCTGCTTCCTCAGGTCATCAGACGGGTCAGGGAAGTCAGGTGCTGGATTTGATTCAAGTTGATTCAGCTGCTATCGGCAGCCCCCTGGCTGATACCATTGAAGAAGGACCTTCTCTCTCAAGCGAAAGGCATGATTTGGCATCCCCGGTCCTAGCTGTGGAGCCTTCATGTTTGGCCCCTCGATGGGAGTCTTCACAGCTCCCCACAAGAGTGACTAATACCATTTTGGAGGCTAGAGCCCCATCTATGAGATGCCTCTATGCCCTTAAATGGTCAGTCTTTTCTGACTGGTGTGCAGCATGGAATAAGGACCCATGTTATCCACGTTAACCTTTCTGCAAGAACTGCTGTATAAGGGACGCACCCCTTCCAAGCTCAAAGTATATGTGGCAGTCATGCCGGCAAACCATGCTCCAGTTGCTGGCGACTCAGTCGGCAGGAACAACCTTGTCGTTAAATTATTTGTTGGGAGCACAGAGGTTGAATCCGGCTCGTCCTCATACTGTGCTGACCTGGGACTTATCCATAGTCCTCAGGGTCCTGCGGGGCCCTCCCTTCAAGCCGCTCCAGCCAGCCGACTTACGACCCCTATTGCTTAAGACCGTCCTCCTAATGGGTTTAGCATTGTTAAAGTGAGTGGGCAACTTACATGCACTGTCAGTCAGTTCTTCATGCCTTGAATTTGGGCCTAACGACTGTAGAGTTGTCCTCAAACCAAGACACGGCTATGTGCCTAAAATGCTCTCCACTCCATTCAGAGCACAAGTCATTACCCTGCTAGCTCTTCCTAATTCAGAGGATGAGCAGGATCCCAATCCACCTGGTTCGAGTGTACGATGAGCGCTCTGGCCCATTTCGGCACTCAGAGCAGCTCTTTGATTGCTTCGGAGGTCGCTCTAAAGGGCTGCCGGTTACGAAGCAGACTTGCTGGATAGTCAAGGCTGTATACTTGAATTACGCCTCAGCAGGTTTACAGTGTCCTATCAGAGTGAGGACCCACTCCACCAGATGAATGGCCTCCTCCTGGGCTTGGTCCAGTTCAACCTCTTTAAGTTATTCTTGACTGTGCTGTTATTATTGACTGTTTTGATGCTGTGCAATATGTAGGATATTACGGCGTTAAATGTCACCCATGCTTAAGACTTTGATCCAGCTCTCAGTGCCTCTGTCTGAGTAATCTTCAAATATTGAATCCTAGAGGAACGCACTTCATCCACTTACTCTGGATACCAGGACGTACCTGGAGACTTTGTGTGTGTGTGTGTGTGTGTGAGAGAGAGAGAGAGAATGTGTATGTGTATAAACGTTTGTGTTTGTACATTGTGCGCTATCAGATCAAACAAAAGCTGACTATAGCTCACTTTGCATTGATCATTCAGATGATAATCTGTCCCCTCTTTTTATAGATTCATATGCTAAAGCCAACCGAAGACATGAATATCTATTTGCTATGCATGTTGTGTGCATTTTGATTTGCAAATTCAGTAAGTTATATATCATTGTCATTGGACAATCTGTCTCCAATTATTTATTTTAATCTAGGTTTCAAAATAACTTGTTTTTTATGCATCACAAAGGTGAGATCTAATTTGCACCCCTTTATAGGTGATGTGCTAAATTTGGTAAATCTTTATGTAGGTGCAAAAAAAACTTTCTCACGTTTAGAATGGTGCAAAGGTAAAAATACATATTTTTATGTATGAGTTTACAGTACAACACAAAAAAAATGCCTCAGTCAGGTTGAGTACAAAATTGGGATAGCATTTCTCAATATATGCTTAAAGAAATGACTGAGAGACATGTACATGATTTTAATCTGTGACCTTACCTTTTAATATTAAACAAACAAATAAATATAAAATGCTGTTAATACTAAATAGTACTTCAGCCTACAGACCTGTGTAAATTACTTGATGTGCTGATATTGTGGTGATGAAATAAATGTAGTCTACTTATTGTAAATATCAATAGATAACAGTCATTGAAATTAGCATGTCTCATTATTTAAAATGTGTGTCTGTGGGATCAGTGGGAGATCTTACTGATGACAATGTGGGCTTGTTGAGTGAGTAGATTTGTTGACAGTCTATCCTTGCTTTCTGCTTCTGCCGAGTCATTAGGTGAGTTCAAAATAATAAAATAATTGCTTATGTAGTCAGGGTGTGTGTTTAGTAAGCAGGCCCTGTATATGTGTTACTGGTAGGTGAGATTATATGGCCATGAAGATTCATGGAAGGCTTCAGGTTCTTGGCCTATATTATTGTTATGGTTTGCAGTTAGTTATATGCATATTCATATTGGTTTCTTGCCATCGAACCATGTGACCTGATTATAATAAAGAAGAACTCAAAAAGGGGGCAATCAGATTTGAACCGGGGACCTCTTGAGCTGCAGTCAAATGCTCTACCACTGAGCTATACCCCCACACATGTTAACCTCTTACAGGTGCCATTTTCACAGGGCAGTCACCTAACGTTCCATCTATAACAATGTATGTATAGGTGATATTCACACCTTCCACTAGATGCATGATAATTAGCGTGAGATAAGTGATCTGTTTCACCTATGGTTTCACCTATGGTTTCACCTTTGTTTGGGGCGACATCTAGTGGCTAAGTACACAACTACACGCATTCCACTTCAAATTCAGTAGAGACTTTGACTTCATGAGACTTTCATCAGATTAGGTTGTGCGTCGGTCTTGATAGCTGTATGTAGCTCAGTGAGTTAGCGTGTACCTGTTTACTTTTTGCAAAGCAGTTGATCCCGGGTTCGATCCTGTGCAACCATTTCATTATAATTCTACTATTGTGCTTGTTGGCCAAAACACCTAATAGTTGGTTTGAGTTTCACAACTTTTTATGTAAAATCTAAAAAGAGAGAAAAGCTTCATGTAGCCATGAATGAATGATTTCCAGATCTGTTTTTGTGGTAACCAGGTCCTGTCTGTGTTATTTCTAGGTGATATTCATGGCAGGTTTCATACGTCTGGCCTATGTTATCCCCAAACTCTGTTTGAAACCCCACTACTAGAGGGTTCTCTTCATTTTTAAGTGATCTGAAAAAAAAGACAGGGCATCCTGATTTGAACCAGGGTCCTCTTGATCTGTAGTCAAATGCTCTACCACTGAGCTATACCCCCATCGATAATGACATGACACAGGTAATGCTTTCACAGGTTGGTTACTGCGTGCTCAAGCACATGTGTATATAATGGGTGTGTATACAAGTGTGAGCTCTGAGCCTATAGCTGTGTGCTCTCCTCCTGCTGCAATACCCATAAATAATCAGGGTTTTGTTTTGTTTGTTTGTTTTTTTTAATGTGGTTGAGGCCACAAAGTAATCTGAAATCTGATATACAGTACAACGATATTATGCAATAGCATTGCCATATGTAGAGTCTATTTATGACTGTAATTTGTTTTTCAGGTAGGGGGACCGGGGTTAGTTGTCATACATTATCCTCCAGGTCAGGATATATCAGCATTGGTCACTAAATCTTGGCAAAATTAAATAAATAATAAAATAATAAACAAATTCCAAAAACCTAAATCCCACCAATATTGCCCAAGACAAATGTAAATGTAAGGCCTGATTTTTTACTGTGTAATTAATAACCTGTATACATTTAGAACAATTAAATCTCATGGCAACATGTCCCTATAAAATTTTGTGACATTTATGAAACATACCCATGTCCTGAAATAAATATCTGTACACAGTTAATATCTACCTTCATTACACAGTTGACATGTTTATCAGTGAATGTATATATCAGTGTGGTGTTATTGAATTCACTTGTTTAGCCAACAGCTATAACAAAAATATAGTGCAATTGAAATTTTAGTTTGGAGACGACACAAGTTTGTCTAATAGACAATAACCTTATAGTTACTGAGATATAGCCATTGTGACAACTTCCCTGTGTGACAGCTAGCCCCAGCCTCCCCTACAACAGGAATATGCGAATGAAAATATATATGTGTTATAGTGAAGCTAATTAGCTTTACAGACATCTGAGCAATACGTTTACTATACATTGAGCTATACAATTAATTAAACCGTGGGTATGACAACAACAAAATAGACAGATGTCAATCGGATGAGATGAAACGCTCGTGTAGGCCTACTTGCACAGAAATGTATGTAGTTGCACATTTAGCCACCAGGTGTCGCTCGAACAAAGGGCGACAGAAGCTGAAAACGTGATGCTAAAGTATTTTTGGCGCATCCGATTCGAAACTGAAACAATGGTGTGTTTCACTGCTTTGGAGAGAATGTGAACGGCTCGTGTGAAAACCGATTTACATGAACAAACAGCAGCAAAGACGCCACGATGATAAAAGCGCTTCGCCGTTTTAGTATTACTCAAAGTTTGAATATGCTGAATGCACATCATTTTAAAACTTCCTTATCAGTGTTTATTCTAAAAGGTGATAGTTTGAATGAATAGGCAGTGTGAGGGCAGGTACACTCCCAATATGTCTATCTGTAACATCCGGTTGATGATTTTGGGTTTAAAGCAGGTCAAACTGAAGATAAACGCAATTTAAGATAAGCTATTTATCTCATGCATTTATCTCATGCGCAAGACGTTTCTTTCATTTCAAATGATAAAGGATTCGGGAAATATTCGAGAGTGAAAGTCTTCCGCTGAATGCCCTGCTTATCTCAGCACGGGAGCGCGCAGCAGGACACAGCGGCAGTGCCGTGAGCGCGCCTTCCGTGTCTGCTTCGTTCGCTGACAGCCAGCGGTGCGAGCTGGGCTCATTAACGGCTACTGATCCTCACCTCGAGCGTTATCAACCCAATAGTGCTCCGCGTATCGTTTCCTCATCTCATTCCGTCGCCGTACAATTCCTCCGAAATGAATCCACTGTGTAGCAGATGTAACCGAGTGGTGTATCCCACGGAAAAAGTGAATTGCCTTGACAAGGTAAGGCTAAGCGAAACTTAGCATACGCTAGCACAGTTTACACCTCTGGCTGTGAGAACGGGGTATATATGGCTCTGGCTGCGTGTAATACAGATTTTTACAAATGTGGCTTAAAAGAGACCATTTCCGATGTGGTGACTAACGTTATTGGGAATGCGGGCAGAGCGGAAACGTGTCAAGCGAACGTACTAGTAATGAAAAGCCTTGATTGTGCTAACTTCACAGCACGCTACAAGTTGTTTATCGTTTGTTCAGTTGTCTCAGTGAATATCGTGTGATATCGACAGAAGTGTGCGGCAGGGTCGTTATTTTTCAAACCAATGGCTGCAGCTTGTTCGTGGCCTCGGTCGCGAGGAGGAGGTTTGTTTATGACGTGTCAGTCTGTCTGTCCTGTGGGCGACATGGACGGACCCGAAAAACCCAAAACAGCCCAAGTCGTGTCAAAAGCTAGCGTTTCTTGGCGTGAATATTGCACCCTTATAGTAACCGGTTGGGCTGTACACGATCTATCTCGTTTTTTGTTATCCAGCCAGGTTTGCAGATGTGCAACTTCGCGGGTGTATAACGTTGAGGCCTGTAAAAAAAAAAAAAAAACATGCGATTTAAGGGAAAATGTTACATGCATTCATGCAATTTCACGGCAATTCTAGTCGGGCCTTGCATTTGCACGGTGTGCACATCTATACAACATGTTTACCAACTGGTCAGAGGAAGTGTTGCTGCTCTACACGCTTGTGAAATGTTTTATATGCAGACCCCACCCCCTCTTAACCCATATCCTTATCGCTCTCGTTTTGAGTTTGGTACAATCTTGAGTTTTTGAATTGCTTTAGATGCTCCAGAGGGTGGGGTCGCCTTCTTTTATTTCCATGCAGCGCAAGTATTTGCGAGGGAGAGAAACTGGGGCGCGTGTAATGGACGTTTTTAAAGCACATTAATCGATTGGCCTTGAACGAGGCAGCTTGAGGAATGACTGTACAGACCTATAGTGCGTGAATGAGACGTGCAGTTTATGTAAAATAAACGTGGGGGGCGTTTGGTGGCACACACCTCCCACAAATGTTGTCAAAACCAGCACTGACCCCACACACCTACACAAGTTGGTTCCCATTCATTGCCTGGAGGAAAGGCCTTGCATAAGTTGCTTCTTACTGTTGTGTTGTTGAGGCATGCCGACGCTTCCCTCAGCTTGAAGAGAGGCCAACCATCGCTTGTCATTCTGCTTCAGTGCTTGAGCTCATCAGCTGTCACTCTGGAGAACATCTCAGAAGAACCGCACCCAAGAGAGGTGGTCTAGGGGTATTACTTATGTGGCAAAATGAATATATACTCTTTCTCATGTTGTTCAAAAAGCATAGGATTTTTATTTTTTTATTTATGTATTTATTTTTTGGCGTGGCACACAGAAAGAGAAGTTTAGTAAAATGTCCAGACAGCCCTTTTCCAGACAATAGCAGTGGATAGTGACTGTCAAGCTTCAAAAAGAAAAACACTGTAAAATAATAACTTAAATCAGTAAGTTTTTATTCAGCTAGGAGGCGTTAAATTGATAAAAAATGGCATATTAGAATGATTTCTGAAGGATCATGTGACGCTGAAGACTGAAGTGATGATGCTGAAAATTCAGCTTTACCATCACAGGAATAAATTACATTTTAATGGTTATTTTAAATGGTAATAACATTTCACAGTATTATTGATTTACCATATTTTTGAATAAATAAATAAATGCAGCCTCAGTGAGCATAAGATAGATAAGATCATTGCATACTGATTTATATTTATCCATCAGTAAAATACAGTGTGCTATACTATTGTAAGCTATTTTTAATGTGTAGTCTATAGATAGAATATGCCATTAATTAGTCCATTGAAATACACAAGGAATCTTTTATACCTCTCTACAGATCCTCCCTCGTGTGTTTCTTCTGTTCTGTTTTCTTATATATTCCCTATTTCTTCTTTTCTAACCCTTTAGCAAGAGACTAAATACCTAAAAAGCATTTTGAAGTAAGTGTCTGGGGGTTTTTTTTTTAGTTATATTTTTGGCTATGAACGGAATCTCTGCTCAAGTGTTTGCTAGCAGCTTCTTCTCCCTGGTAGTGCAGAATAGATGCATGATTTTGTTGCTCACAAGCACATGTGATCAACTACTACATTCCAGCTGACTGGTAAGAAAGTGTTGGATATAGAAAGACAAAAATACCATCTAAATTATAGGCATTGCAGTTAGCATGCGTGACTGGCTGCATAGATGGAATGTAGGGTAGCGGGTCAGGTCAGTCCCCCCAGTCCATTTTCTGTGTGTGTGGTCTCTTATCACTGAAACACTCCCATGGTCAACATTAACTAAGGAAGCTGGTAATCAAAGTCTGCCATAAATTACAGCTACATACTTTAGTGTATAGCTATTGAAGGCCAGTATCTCAGTTGCGTCAGGGTGTTTCCCATCATTTGTTGTTTGGTTGTGGATCATTCTTTCTGTTTTTTCCTTATGTTGCAAGAAGCTGGGAAAATGGTGATGTAATTCAGTTAATAACCACTTGACAACCAGTGTGATCCAGATGGGTGAACTATATAAAATGTCTATGCCAGAAGGTCTTTAAAATTGATGCATTCACACAGAAAAAAAACAACATGTATTTTCTTTAAATGGACATGACCTCAAGTTGGGTTTATTTTGTGTCACACGTGGTGCTGGTTCCTCTATTGCTTTCAAAGAACAAGCACTCCATTGTTTTTTGCATTTAATCCTCAGAGTGAACTACATAGACTGTGTAACAACCATAGTGACTGAATTAGCAACACTAAGGGATCTTCATGTCATTTGCACTTTTTATCTGACTTTATCTTTCCCAACTCGGTTGCAGACAATTTCCCTATTTCTTTTGCATACACCTCCCAATACAAGCACATTTTAAAGCTTTAATCCTTCATTCCTCTGTGTGTCTCTCTTTCAGTACTGGCATAAAGGATGCTTTAGTTGTGAAGTCTGTAAGATGACTCTAAACATGAAGAACTACAAAGGCTTTGAGAAGAGACCATACTGTAATGCGTAAGTATCTCTGCTCTCTGTGAGTTTTGTGCGTAACGTATGTCTGCTTTCATTGTCAGCTTTTTTTTTTGCTACATATTCCTAAAGTTACCATGAAATAAATTCATTTTATTATGGTTCAGTGTTACTGATCTGTTTAATTTGGAAATATGTCATAATACAGAAATAAATTCAGTCACATCCTCTGTTTCACTGTGGCTTTAAAGTCACAAGCTGCCTCCGAAATTGCATGCTGTCTGGTAGGTACTGTATTTGGTATGAAACTTACTTCATGACCGGTAAAATGTACATTTTATTTAGTATTAATATGGGTAGTATGAATAAAATATGGACGTGCTACATCCACCATGTTGTTAGTGTCACATGACCTTCCAGAGTCAGTTGCGTTGCTTCACTGCAATTCACAACTCCTCAAAGTAGTAGATCTTCCGAGCACTTTTCACCTACTGTTTTATTTTGAATATTATGAATTCAGACATGCTGCTCTTTTCACAGTTTTCACCTATTATATAGTATGGAAGTAGGCATATTTGGACGAAGCAAACCATCAATTGCCATTTGCAACCCTATTTTAGTAAACTAAGATATTTAACAAGAGCAAATATATACACGGATGTTGGTATATTGAGAATTATGAAATGAAAAGTGGGTGTTAAATATTAAAGTGGAACCAGATACAATGCAAGGTTTCTAAAACAATGTCTGTTTGACAACTAGCTGACAGTTTCCAGTAGCTTGCTTGGCTTAAATGAATATAGCGGAAAAAGAGTGCCTCAAAAGAAGAGGAAGTTAGTATATTTTGAAGACACAAAATCAGACACATTTGTCTTTTGAATGACGTGCACTGATGCAACTTTCAAAATAAGACAAGACACACGCATTAAGAAAGTAAACAGAGCCAATTTTAATATACCCCTGGTTTCACAGACAAGGGTTAAGCCTAGTCCCAGACTAAAATGCATGTCTGGGCTGTTTTACCTGAAAGAAACTTGCACTGACATCTCTTAAAATATGTCAGTGCCATTGTTTTGTCTCAAGATGCACACAAGCAATGTTATTTTCTAAGGCACATTTATAAAAGATTCTTAAATGTCCTAATTGAACTATGGCCTAATCCTGGCTTAACCTAAACCCTGTCTGTGAAACAAGGCCATAACTTTTTTTTAATTGTTTCTGATTGTCAATTGTCTCAGTAAGTGTTAGTTGATCGTGGAAAGGTCACGTCCACAGACACAGTAGCTGACTTGTGCATTCATTCAGTGGAAGGGTACTGGAGGGAAATTCCTATTTTCACAACAATGAACCATACACGCATACAGAAATGAGTTCACTTCTCTGGAATGAACTTCTGATCACTAAAAGTCTTGAGTCAGATACCTCACTTGTAGCATTCCTGTTTTTAGAAAGTTACCATTCATGCTTCAAGTTGCAGTGGTAATGCAGACCACCAGGCCTAGCATGCTACTTTGACATGGCTAGAGTACATTTATAAAGTCATGATGACCAGCTGGCATACAAAATATGCAAATGAATCCCTTCTGTGAGTACTGATGTATCTCAAGGTCCTTATTTCTCATTCTCACACACTTCTGTAATACACCAGGGGATTTTAGTCTTTATTTAGCAAATGATTTATTTCTGTCACTCTGTCTAGATCTGCTTCTTTCCAGTGGTGGAAAGAGTACTGAAAATTTATACTTAAGTACAAGTACTGTTACATTGCTGAAATAATACTCGATTACAAGTAAAAGTACTGGTGTCAAAACAGTACTTAAGTAAAAGTACAAAGTACTCCTCTCAAAAACTACTCGGAGTACTAGTTACTTTTTAGCCGGCAATATTGAATGAATTCCCAAAAATATTCATATCAAAGATCTATGTGGATAATAGCTACTTTGAACAAAACCCACTTTTATCTTATTGACAGAGTACGTGAATTAGTGGTCATGATACAGAAATTTACCCGTGTACCCGTGAACCAGAAGAACTGACTTCAGTGTTGTGATGTATTTCCAAGTGAAACGGAATATTGAATAAAGGGCGGGGTTTTGTTGTGGTGCACCTCCACTCCACCTCTTTCTCATAGCAGATTCACGGTTGGATAGGAGTGGTTAAAGGGGTCATAGGATGCCCATTTTCCACAAGTTGATATGATTCTTTAGGGTCTTAATGAAAAGTCTATGACACCCCCCAAAAAACAGCAAACTGTGCATATACACACTCACGATGTCATGTAATACTGAAAAATTATAACCCTAACCTTTATCTCCATACTGAAATCCCAGATGGCCTGAAAGTGATTCAGCTAAAATATTAGTGTCTGAGACACTGTGAGCACGGAGACTGTAGTGTGCACAGCAAATTTTTAAATGCTTAGCTTAAATATGTAATATTAATTAAATAGTGCTCATAAATGGCTGTTGATATAGTATTCTCAAGTGAAATAAGTAGAGGCATGGACACAGAAACAGCAGTCCTTACGTCATGACTTAACAAGAGGATTCTCCCCAAGCCGTCAAACTGATGTCATCAGAGCGAGAACGCCATTCCAGAGCAGAAGCGATGGCAGACAATTTTTTTTTCCAATGTATTGACTTGTATCATGATTCAATTGTTCACCACAAGATTAGTAATGTGCACTAAAAAAGTAAGTAGGGTCATTTTTTTATTTCATGACGACTAATAATTTTAATACCATTGGCAAAACTACTACATACTGTATACTGCCATATAGATATTTTAATATTTACAATTTTTTTTTGTCCGTCCATTTTTTCAAAGCAATCATTATTTCAAGCTTTGAAATTGGTTTAATCCTAGTCTTCTAAAAAGACACATTCGCTTTATATGATGAACAGATTTTAATATAGGCTTTTATTTACATATACATATTGATCAATTACCATTACAAAAATCTCAATCTTAAACATTTACACATTCTGTGTATTTGTGTCTTTAAAGGGGTGGTTGGTTGCGATTTCACTTTTTTAACGTTAGTGTGTAATGTAGTGTTTGGGCATAAACTATATGCAAAGTTACGAAGCTGAAAGTTCAGTGCAAACGGAGATATCGTCTTTTAAAATTCTGGCAGTTTAATGCCTACAAAAACGGCTGGTAGGGACTACAACAAGTTTCTTCCCGGGTTTGTGACGTAACAAACCCAGATAAACCCCGCCCTCGGGAAAAGGCAGCAAAGGGGGTGAGGCCATGCTGCGCTGCTTTAGAGAAGAGGAAGAGAAAACTAGAGGTGCACGTAAAAATCTATTCCTATATGAATCGTGATTCTGTCTTCTAATGATTCTAATGGATTCACAAGTTTCAAAATCAATGTTCTAAAGCAGCGGTTCTTTATATTGTTCCTCACGTCCCCCTGCTCGGCATCTCTCTCTCTCTCTCTCTCTCTCTCTCTCTCTCTCTCTCTCTCTCTCTCTCTCTCTCTCTCTCTCTCTCTCTCTCTCTCTCTCTCTCTCTCTCTCTCTCTCTCTCTCTCTCTCTCTCTCTCTCTCTCTCTCTCTCTCTCATTCAGCTCAGCTCCAACAATGAACTCTTCCAATTATACACTTATTTTTACATAGCTATGAGAAGCGTTAAACATGGACGTGCGTGCAGTTGCCGTACTGTATTAAAGCTTTAATCAGGATAAAACCGTATATTAAAAGCTAACATAAGCAGTGGCATTTACAAATAATAGCATATATAAAGGTATGAGACAACAACAAACAAAAAACATAGGCCTACCAGTAAAAGCCGTGCTTGCACAGGTTCTGCACGATCCTCTTCAATAATATGCTCTGCTTCTCAATCGGGCTCAAACTGATAAGCGATATTAATGACGCCGGAACATCAGATGGCTTTGACCTGTAATGACTGTACAATGTAGTGATGCAGTTAGGCAGACTAGGATATTTCTGTACAAATCAGACAAATATCCCATTCCAAAACATTTCTAGCATAAACTTACATTGTAGGGATGGGCTTAAAAATATATCACGATATTTCTGGTATTTATTGCGATAATGATATCAATGACGATAATTCAGGGAATCCTGTTTCTTTAGAGAAAAGTATTATCATTCGTATTTTTACCCAAAATAGGGTGTTGTGAGCATTAAAGGCACAATATGTAATTTTCGCCGCTGGAGGGCGCGTATTCAAAATTAACAAAGAGGCAAAGGCGTAGTTTGATGACGCTGTGACTGAGTGTGGAGTCACTAACCAAACCAGTTACAGATTGTAAAAGGAGCTCAAGCGCCTCATTTAGCGATATAGGCTACTCCTCAAATGCACGACCGCCTTCCGCGATGTCGCTCCGCACTGTCGCACACAGAAATATGTCAACAACTAGACTTTATCGTCAGCTAGTT